AAATGCACACCTCTTTACTTTTTGCAAAGTAAAAACAAAAATATATTTTCATTTTTAAAAAAAAAATATATTAACCATCTTCATTTGTCAAACTTTAAGTTTCAAGTGTGTAAAATGATTGAGTTTTGATATTCATTGATATAAATTTACCAAAGATTTGTTAATGCCATCGACTTTCTTAATTGATAAACATATTATGTTTACTTGTAAAAAGAGAATATTATCGGGTTAATAATGCCAGGTCCTTTGCGATAGTTTCTACCTGCTATTGCAAAACCTCATCACAATTAATAACTTTAAAAAGAAGTATCTATTTAATTTTATTTACGTTTCTAACATCATTAAGTTTTGAGAAGTATTTATCTGCTACAAACAATGCGCCTACCCTACTCCCTTTTACGCCCCTAAACCACATTTTCCTCTCTAAAGATGACCTTAAATTACCCAATCTAAATTACCACACATTATATGAAGTTTGTCACTAAAGAAGTTAATGGAGGTATGATTTCTACGCTTGAGAATTACTTTAGATTTTCTCCTTTTCGTGCCCTTTAAAAAAAAAAAAAAGGAAAACATAATAATATCATATAAATGTATTCAATATTAAAGGAATTTAATATATTTGATATCTTCATTAAAAATGTAACATACATTTGCTTTGTAATTCTTTTATCTCAAGAATATCCTCGCAACCGTTTTTCACGCCTATAAGAGACCTGAGTGTCTTTTTAAAAAAATTAAATTGTTAATCTCATAAAAATACATAGTTACACACCTCTTTAATTTTTGCAAAATCAAAACAAAAATATAAATTTTATGTTTTGAAAGTACATATTAGCCCATCTCTAATTTTCAAAATTAATTTTTTAAGTGTGTCAAATGATTGGGTTTTGATATTTATGGGTATACTTATATAAATGTACCCACAATTTTTTAACGTCATTGATTTTCCTAATTTTTAAACATACATTTATTGGTAAAAAGAGAATGTAACATCTCTTTTTTCACAAATGTAATACCATAGGTGTTATATATATATTGTCTTCCACTTGAAAATGTACACATCCTTTTTCCTATCTCCGATATATATGTACCCAAGAAGGTTAATTATTAATCAAATTAATTCCTTTATTTTGAGACATATCTTGTAATGCCTCGGGCAAATTGAACATACCAATATTTGTAAATGAACATGTAATTTTTTTCACAAATGTAATACCATAGGATTTAATTATATTGTCATCCACGTAAAAATGTACACAGCCTATTTCCTACCGTCGATATGAATGTACCCAAGAAAGATAATTATTTTTTTAAATTCATTCCTTTATTTATTTTGAGACGAATCTTGTGCTGCCTGGGGCAAAGTGACCAACGCTCCCCCACCAAGATTTAAATAAATTTAGAAAATCTTCCACCGGATTGAAGTCCCGTCCATACCCAAACTAACTTATTATGCATTTCATATTGTTCGTTCTTATTTGTATGAGGTATAAGTGGATTAGTGAATGCTATTTGGCTATGGAGTTGCGCTGCACTGATTGACTTAAACCGCATTTTCTTATTAGAATTATATTTAAAGGTTAGATTTTATTACGTTATAAATTTAATAAAAGTATATTTTTGGAATTAAAAAAGGCAAAACTTTTAAAATGTAAAAATATACAACGCAAAAATGTGTGTGTGTTTTATTAACAATTAAAAAATTAAATTTAAAAAGCAATCAATTGTATTTATTGATTTTAATTTTAAGTAGGGGAAAATGCATTATCGGTTTTGCCACAAGCGGTTATTAAATTTAAAGAAACCTAACAGTTTTGGTGAAAAAGGCTGTTAGCGCTATGACGTCATTTGCTTGATTATTTAGAGGAAATTTATTTTTATTTTTGTTTCACAATATTAACAACGCACTAAAAGACGCACTAAAATCGAATGATGCTTTGGTTTTCCCGATAATTGTGATTACGGTGTAATTCTTTGATCATGATTTTTTTTTCTTTTTTTTTTTTCATAACTTTTAAACACATATAAAATGTTTAAAATAATACATTAGTTGATACTTCAAATGTGTTTGTAATTTAAAATAATAATATTTAAACTTTTACTAAAATAAAAGTGGATTTTAAATATTTTTTGCGCATTTAAATTTATTCGATTTCCGTAAAATAATAGAAAATAACTATGATTGTTTTTAGGAATCCGAACGTACTTAAATAGTATTTCCCTTTTGGCGTTTAGTGACTCTATCTCATTCCTATATATATATATATATATATATATATACGTTCTTCCATTGACAGTAGAACCCTCTCAATCCCAAGAACTAAAACTAAGACCATCGGTGAACGCTCCTTCTGCTTCCATGGGCCCACGTTCTGGAACCAGCTCCCCTTCCATATACGTCATAGTGAAACCTCGTCCATTTTCAAAAAGTCCCTTAAAACTCATCTGTTTAGGTCCGCCTATGACCTGTGATGCACCCTC